AACGAGAAGGGCCACGGAACGAACCCCCTTGGTTCTGCTCTCCTGGCCCCTGTCCATGCCCGTCGCCCTCGGCGCTTAGCTGCAACCAATCACATCACCAGTCAAGCCCCTGTTGGTGATTTTCGCCCTCCCCTTGTCAACGGCCCCGACCAATCAACCTCCTTGGAGCCCGTCCGACCGGCGCTTAATCGACCTCCCCTGGCTGTCGCTGTCACCCCGGCCCTCATCGATCGATGCAGCTCCCAGGATGCTGGGTCGCACTAAGTGCCCGGGCTGGGCCTAGCTTGTCTGGCTGCTTTTACGAGGGCGGCAAAACGACGACGCCGGGTCATGGGCATGGGGCTTGTGTCATATGTCCTCTCTCTCTCATCTCGCGGGAGTGGAGAGAAGAAGGGTGTCGTGACAGTGGGACGGACACCCCTCGGCGCGTGCAACACCCATCCATCCCCCTCCCTCTTGTGCCTCGGGGTGGGAGGATGCGGGTGCGGGGGGGAGAGAAGGGCACGAGGTGGACAGTCACACCTGGCACATGGTGTGCCTCGTTGGGCGGGCTGGTGTGCGGTGACAGCGGGAGAGGCACGCTGTATCTAGATGGGCGAGTCGTGATTTCTGACGAGCTGGTATAGTGGTGCGAGCGTTTTGATATGTTCCAAGTAATGGTGTAGTGAGCGGATTAAACAGACATGAACTCTCGAGAATGCCAGTGAAGATCTCATCTTCATGACGATGACCACGGCCTGGATGCAACCGCGGGCCCGTGTCGTGGCCCACAGAGGCCGCTGCTGCGGCCCACGGGTCGACAAGTTAGATACATGTAAACAAACAAACATGCAAAAGCGCGACATTGGTAACATTGCATGACTGATAGGACGAACACAACACGTGTTGTTGATTTATGTGTTGTATTGCATTGCACTGTCTCTGCTTCCATCGTGAAGCTCATCGATAGGAACCCGCCCAGTGTTTGTTTCGCTTCGCTGCCCAATCCTTTTCTTGAAACGGCCGCGGCCGATGCAACAGGGGCAAAAGAAGCCCCCAGGCACGAGTATATCCCATAGAACCCCAGGCTTCCAAAGTTGGAATAAAAATCAAAAAGAAGAGAGGCGGGGCAAATCAAGCCTCCTTTGCTGCTTGGTGACCCCGCCTCGTCCGCCGCTCGCTTTCGTGGTATCGAAGAAGTGTGAGTAGTTGGTCCCGGCAGCCGACGCCGTAAAACTCCCAGTCCGTCCGCCCTACTCCCAGTGAACAAAGGAAACACGGGGTATCTCTCAACCCCTGCGACCCCGCTGAGAAGCCTGTCGCTCACTCCGTTTTGGAGGAAGAGATGCAAGCTTTCGTTACTTGAGGTGCCCAGTTTGGCGTGTCCGTGGTAGCCGTCCATACGTAAGGTCATATCGTGTGAAGATCAGGGGGGAGAGAGTCAAGCTGCGAGGCCCGCTCCACAACAGGCTGGTGTTGAGTGTCACCGGCCCCCTCTCCAGCTGCTGAATCGGAGGAGATCATAAAAGTGCCACTGCAGTGGTGGCGGCATGTCGCCCGGAGGATCATGTGGCGGCGTGTTCGACCTTGCGCCGCTTGCCCTTGGGGGCAGGGTGCATCCGAGGCGTTGGGTTGTATGTGACGGTGCGGGTGACAACTTCGCGAATGTGGCGCACGCTTGTCCGGGCCTGCTGTTTCTTCTTCTCGGCAAATCTGGCCTTGAGAGCGGCGTCCCAGTCAAAGACGGACTGAACAGAGCGTGCGCTGAAGGGAGAGCGCGCGCTCATAGGGGAGTCGACCATGGAGATGGCCGGAGAGGGTGGGATTTTGAGGCTCGGGAACGAGTCGGCACCGGTTGGCGGGGCAGACATGGGCATATGGCTGAAGGGGCTGGGTGGAATAGGCGGTGCGGTGGCCGGGCCCTTGTGCTGATGCTCGCACTTGCAGGAGCAGTCGGTCTGCTCGCTCGTGGCAGTAGAGGGGGCCGACTCTGTGTTTGTGTCATCGCTTGTGGGCGAAGAGCGAGACGGGGTGACGGCGGGCGAGTTGAGGGACATGGATCGCAGGAAGTCCATGTACGCCGTGGGCGGGCTGATGGGTGTCTTTGCAGAGGCGAGGTCGATGCAAGACAGTGGCCTGGCGGAGAGAGGCGTCGAGGCCGAGAAGATGGTCTCCGAAGGAAAGGTGCCGGTGACGGGCGTGGTCAGCTGCGGCAGCTTGGGCTTGGTGGCAGGCATGATGGGCGGGATGTTTGGTAGGTAGGTAGGTAGGTAGTAGTAGTAGTAGGTATAAACGAAGGTTGACGTATTGGCGAAGGTCAAGTCAAGTGAATGACTCGAGAAGCTGGGCGAGTTGCCTACTACGACGACAAGCTGCAGAGTTAAGAGCGCCTGTGGGGAGGGGGGAGGAAAAAAGAGAGCCGGCAGTTGGGGGTGGATGGGCAAAAGATGTTATATCGTGCAGAGGCGCGCGGCCTGGGGTCCGTATGCGGACGAGGAGGGGGGTGGTGGGAGGTGAGAGGTGGCAGGTGGGTAGTGGGTAGTGGGGAGGGAGCTCTCCCGTTCGTTGGCGCCGACGCTGCTGGTGTGTGGTGCTGTGTTGTTGGCGGCAAGCTGGGCTCGAGGGCGGCAACCGAGTGTGTGGGTGTGTGTGTGTCTGTCGGGGAACAAACCAAGGCGCTTTCGACCTGCCGTGCGCCTAAGCAAGATGCAGGCTGTGTATGTGGGTGCTCCGGACTGTCTCTCTGTCCGTCTGTCTGCTTGTACAGTACAGCCCAGGTCGAAGTGTATTTTGTATGAGCGAAGGTTCCCAGAGCAATGGTCGGGGCGGCCGGGGTACGGCGCCAGAGCTGGGGGCAGAGGACAGGGGTAAGGTGAACAAGGAACGTGTCGGCCGGGATGAAGGAGGCACGAAACAGACGGGGAACAGGGAGGCCTGGTAGCGCGGGTGGAGGAGAGCAGCAGGCCCTGGTGATGAAAAGTGAAAGTGCCCTGGTGATTTTGTGTTGGTGATGGAGGGCAGGGCAGGGCAGGCTTAAGGCGGCGAGGTGTGCGGTTTTGCGCGCGAAGCTCGGGAGACCGTTGATTCGCTGCGCGGGCGCGTGTGAAGGGGTGAGATGCACTGCCTTAGCGTCGACCGGATGCAGCGTCGCAGGCGACAAGTGGTCAAGAGGGACACTGGGACAGGCAGCAGTGGTCGTGGTGAGGCTCGGTGAGCGTACTCGGAACTGGAGAGGCCAGCTGCAATGTCTGATTGGAAGACGGTCCTGCGAAAATATTCTTAGCACAAAAGCACTACTAGAAAGATGCACAACACATGCTCGAGCATGCATCCCCGAGCGGCGGCCCCGGTTGGACGACCACTCCCCAAGGCCGGCGGCTACCCAACCACACTGAGGTGGAGGTGAGGTGAGGGGAATGGAAGTACTCACTTTGTGCCAAGAAGGATGTACCCGTGTGTGTCTCTCGGTGCTGAAGCCGAGTTGTTGTTGGTGCGAGGTTCGAAGGGAAGCAAAGCCGCGCGGCTGTTGGTCCGTCTGGTTACAAGATACGAGACAAGAAGAAAGGAAATCGTACGTGACAAGGTTTGCTTCAGCTCCTCAAAGTTGAACAGATGTGGATAGATGTTGTCGTCGGTTGAACGAGGACGGGACATGTTGTATATCTAGTTGCAGCATGCTTCACTGCTCGGCTGGTCGAGTTCGGGGTCGCCATTCCCTCATCGACTCGACGACCAGAAAGTTGACCCAAGATGTTAAATCTGGATGCTTCATAGAGCGCGCGCCTCCATCGTGTCTCGAGTTGCGTGCCGTGCCGCCACTGCCCGTGAGTCTCGCGCCAGGCCGCTGCCAGGAAATGCCAGGGGAGAAGCATGGGCGGCAGCTCTAGAAGCTGTCTCTGCCACTCAGGCCGTGGATACTGTTCGGTGGTCTGCCTCGCAGGCTGTTGGCCAGAGCGCGCGCGTCCTGAGGTGTTGTGGCAGGCCGGTCGAAGCCACGGCGCCTCATTGGCAGGGCATCACATGGCCGTGTCGTTGGCTGCTCGGCCATGGGTTAGGGTCGATTACCTTGCTGCTCTTTCGAGAAGCTTGAACATCCGCGCGCTTGTTAGGAGTTGCCTCCTGCATGCAAAACAACATTGAGGCTTCTTGACCACAAATGGGATGCGGGCATGCGCCAATGAGTTGGTCATTTCTGCCGCCAGACGCAAGCTTTGGAATATGTCTTCGTCGACGATTCTCTGGCTCTGGGATGCCTCATGCTGAACTGGTAAGCGCCCCCATTCTGGAGCCGTGAGAGGAGACCCATCGTGTTGCTGCCAAGGGGCCGGAGCGGAACCCCAAACCGCCCGAAATAAGCATACTTGACCTGGCAAATCAACATGTGCTGCTGCATGGTGCTCCTTCTGGCCGCGGCACTTGAGAAAGCCGTTGATGGCGGAGATTCCATTGTCGGTCATGGACCAATGAATTCCTCGTGTCCGAGCGGACATGGGCGGACATGTGTTGGGAGTCCGAGCCAACGATGCCGACGTGATACAGCTGTTCATTGATGCTTGTCCTCCTATTGGGCTGCCCCAGAGACTTGATGCCGGCTCGGCCATGCGAGACACGCGGGAAAAGAAAGAACATCTCGCCAGCGTCTCAGTCGTGAGAGGTGAGTCTTGGGCAGCCCGTGCAGAGCAGCTCCCTGGTGATCCATGTTTGCTAGAGGTCATCCATGTGCGTATGTGCGAGTATCAAAATGTCTTGAATCAAGAGTCGATCGATCCGGGTGACGGCGATGCTCCGAGCAGAGAAAGACAACGTCAGTCGTCAGCCTTGAGGTCAAGCAGTGGCTTGAATATCTTTAGGGCTGCGTTGGGCTGGCATGGTGGCGGCGGCCTCTGACGCACCCGATCTGGGCAAACAGAGGTGCCGTGCGGCAGGAGGATATGGCCAGGGCGAAAAGGGGACGCGGGTTGAACGAGCGCGAGTCTCTCAAACAGAAATAACGCGGAAGAAAAGTAAAACAAAAAGTCCGCTGTCACGGACGTGGTTCGAACACGCGAAGATTTCTCTAGCAGAACTTAAGTCTGCCGCCTTAACCACTCGGCCACCGTGACAAAACAGAAATTTTTAAAATGTTTACACATACATCATCTCACAAATCTGGGCTCGCCTGTCTCTCCGTCCTTACTGGTCTGGCCGCAGGTGTTCAAGTTTAGTGTTGTGTTCTAAGGCCGGTGCCAGCCATTCCGCGTCACTTTCGCGTTGCGTTGCCACCCCTGCCGTCCTTCACCGACATTTCGAAGCTTCGAGCTGTGACAGCACTGCCAGGTTTGGAGAGCTGGAACACCTGGTGGATCTCGCCCGACCTTGCAGACAAGCGGGAGGAAAGGGGCGGCGGAGCCTATACAATAGACCCAGAGGTTCATGCCAGACGCAAACGACAGAGGGTCCTCGGAGCTATCGTCAAGCTGCCAGAGCTGGAGGTTCGCGTCGACTCAGTGCCAAAGGGCGATACGGTGTGAGGCGAGGGTCACGTGGCCGGGAAGAGGAACCATTGTCCCGAGACAGACTAGGCGCCTGCCGGCAGAAGCCCCGGTTCCCCGGTACTGGCTGTGCGAGTTTGTTTCTCGGACGCGGCGCAGCGCAAGACGGTGCGGCGCGCCAGTGATTTTGGAACTTCCAGGCATCGGATGCATTGACGGAGCATCCAGCCAGCCTGCCGGACGGATGACTTTCTTACTCACGGACGGTACGGACGGTGCTGTACTGTACCTCCAGGGCGGCGTCGGGCTGGTGGTTGGGGGCTAAAATTAGGGTGACAGACAGGACAGGCGGCAGGGTGGTGTGGGTGCGCGGCGTTGCCAGCTCATCAATTGTCGGTCGATCCGTGGCATTCTTCGGCTCGGAACAGGATTTTGCCTGGACGCCGAAGCTGACCGCCACGTTGGAAGGGGGGGCTCGTCTCCGAAGCGTGGCGTCATTGCGTTGCCCATCATCCGGGGGGAGATCGTCAGAGTGTGTTTGGAGAGTTGCTCGGTTGAAGGTCGAGGAGGTTGACGTCAAAGAGATCCATTGTCGTGAAGTGACTCGGAGGCTTGGATTGCTCCATGTCGCGGTGAGAGGTGGGCGGCCGTCAGCCAGTCATGTGGGTGGAGGGACGGAGACAGAGAGAGTGTGAGAGATGGACGGGACAGTCGCGGGGGTTTCCTCGGCAAACGAGGTGCCCGAACCGTTGACCGAAGCTGACAGACAGGACGCTGCTGCGCTGCGCTGCGCTGCGATGCACCTCGACGCCAGACGCAAGGTGTGTTTTGGGTTGATCTGCGCAAGTCTCTCAGTGCAGTAAGAGGATTGATATACTTCCATTGGGAGTGCTTTCCCTTTACTCTTGCCTGCTCTCTATGGCCAGGTACTGCTTCCTTTTCTGGACAATTGAGCCCCGGCTCTGCCAGTGAGGTTCGTTCCTTCCATCTTTCCCACTCGTCGGGCCGTGGCTGGGCCAGCTCTGCGCACCGTGCTGCGGCAGCCAACAGCAAGAGCAGTGGCACGTGCGGCTAGTCGGGCGGGGGCAAGGAAGGCGACCGGGGAGCGGTGCCCATCACGTCATGTCCACAAATCACAGTGTCGCGTCTCGTCGTGCCGCCCCACCGAGCGGAGCTGAATCAGCCAGTCATGGTCGTTAAAGACGGAAGGGCCCCTCAAATCACCTCTGCGCATTTTTCCCTCGTCCTCATCCTCACGACCAATCAATAAAAGCCTGCGCGCTTCAGCAATCAGAGCTGGTGATTCGACACGACATCAAGCTCGCTCCCCAAAGCTACAGGGCTGATTCAACCCAACCCATCCCGTCCGTCCGTCCGCCCGTTCCATCCAGGCCAATCCAATCAATCCAGCCCAGCGAGAGCACTGGACTCGATCGACCAACGAGCTTGTCGCCCGTCTTTGCTCCGCATTCTGCCCTGGGAACGCCGTGCCACGCCCGCACCCGCCGCCGCCCCCAGCCCAGCCCAGCCCAGCAAACCAGCGAGCAGCACCCGACCGTAAACCGCCGGCCATCTGGATACCGCCATATCACATCGCAGCGCGCTGTACCGCCGCATCGCACCGCATCACACCGCCAACAGAGCGGACGAGCAGTAACAAGGCCAGGAACTGATCCCAGAGACAGTCTGCCTTTTCCCCTTGTCCTGCCTGCCCTGCCCACGGCATCAGCCCAGCCACGCGCAGCACACCCTGGTCTCGTCGCATCGCAAAGTCGCGGTGTACAAGCACAGGCGTTTCCTCCCCCCAGCCCCCGTCACGGCCGCCAGCCTCAGCACACGGGTCCCAGCTCCACGCCAAACCTTGGAAGCCCTCTGCTGCAGCCATCCAGCCAAACACGACTTGGACGCCGATTCAATTCCGTCGTCGTCGACCTCGACATATCTCTCCAGCAGCTGCTCAAGGACTGGTGTCTGCCTGCCTGCCTGCCCGCTGCCCGCCCGCCTGCCCGCACTAGCCTAGCTGAGCTACAGTACAGTGCATCGCGCTAGGTGCCAGAGCTTGCCCCTCACAGTCTGCGGTGCGGTCTTGAAAAAAGCTGGGTCCCTACCTTCCCTTTCTCGCCCACCCCCCAGCACTGCCCACTCATCTTTCATCTTTGCCCTCCTCCCACTTGTTCGGCAGAGCTTCCCACAACTCTCCGTCCAACAAATCAGCGCGGCCGTCTTCCTTCCTCGCGACCACCTCTCAAACATCGAAGCTCCCCCCATCGCATCGCGACAAGGAGATAGCGTCCTATCACCATCGCAAACCACCACTGCAGCACCTCTATTGGCCATTTCCCCCGGTCAGGTGACGCCATTTCGCTGCGGCAACCAGAAGGGAATTGGGCCAAAAAAGCCAACCACGACGTTCTTCCTCGTCGCAGTTTCGCGCGCCGCCACCAGTCAAGTCGCATCACAGCACATCGCCAACACGCTTCTCGTCGCGTCTCCGTGTACATACGACTGGTCGCCTATTACAAGCGCCGCCAATAACGCCAACCGCCTTGCTTGCTTCCAACATCCAAGTCCTCGACACAACGACTTTTCCCAAGGTATGTCGACGTCCGCTTTTCACGAGTTGCGCCGTGTTACCTTTTCAGTCCCCCTCCTCCACCATTTTCATCGAAACACAAACGCGGTGACCTCACACTCACTCACTCCCTCCCCCAATTGCCGGCACCGACCCCTCCGTTCTTTTCCTTACACCTTCCGCGCTGGTTACATTCTTTTTTACCCACCTCTATTTACCCTGTCTGGTAATGCTGCTTCCCCGCATCTCTCACGTGTTTTCTTGCTTTCTGGCACCTCGATGCGACGCGCGATTGCAACCACCCGCGCGCGCGTCCTTCCGCCGGCTTCTCCTCCTGGTCTACCCCCTCCCTCCTCTCTTCCCACTGCCAGGCGACTTGCCCCGCCGACTTGAGTCCCCTCTGCAAAGCTTCCGCCTTGCCATAGAGACGGGCGCAATTTGGCGTTGGGCCTCGCGGTACGTGTCGCCATCTGTTTACTTGCTCCCTCGCCCGGAGCGCGTTGCGGCTCTGCTTGGCTATGGGCAAGACGCTTCTAGTTTGGTCACAGTCGTCGTCCCGCGTTCACCAATTGTCGGGCGCACCAGCCTGCGCACAGGCTGGGCCGCCCGCTAGCTTCCGTTTCCCTGTACCCCCCCCCCCCCCCCCCCCTTACCATCTGCCCGGCATCCGGTGCCCAATCGTCATTCCGCAGCCTCACCAAAGCAGCCCGTCGCATAGTTGCGACGTACTGTACTGGGGCGCCGAGGCGGCGGACACTGGGCGCACATGTGCAGCTTTGGGCCTCCAGCAGCGGCGCGGCAACTTGACAACCCGCCCGCCCATGCATCTCGTTGCCTGCCTGGCCGGCAAGCGGTCGAGGCCTGCCACATCCATCTTCCGTCATGCACGCAACGCACATCTGTCGGGGTTACTGCCAGCTCATCAAGCAGTCGCTGTCGCCGGAAGAAGGGGGTGCGGGTTCCTCTGCCACCACCATCACGACGACGTCCCCCTCCCCCCACCCACTGCATCTGCCCCCCTTCGCCCTGTTGTTCCTAGCCTCGTCGCACTCCCCCCAAGAAACCAAGGGCTTCGCTGACTGATTCGCCCCAGACAAGTAGGACCCTGCTCGAGACCGCAAACCCGGCCTCACAACCCACCCGGCGTTCCCAAGAACACAAAGCGACTATCCGCACCTTCACAGCGGGCCGCAGCCTTAATTTGACTGCTCCGTCAACCCAAGCCATCCTCACGTGGCAATTTCACCGCCCACCTTTGACACGGACAACAACCTAACCAGCCACCCACACACGCACGCACGCCCCTGTGCGTCGTCTTGTACATCAGCTTGCATACGCGCGCTTTACCAGATCCACGACTGCCAGCTCACCCCCGCATATCCAATAGATTGCCCTGCTCACCACCGCCTGGCAGTCCCCTCAGTACCCAAAGTGACGACAAGGCCCTCGAAACGCGCCTGCCCAACCGTACCTACTCAGGCGGGGCGACTTATATGGTCCCGACTGGCACGGCGATTTCTCACGCACTTTATTCGCTATCCCACCTCTGCACCTCTCCGCACCCTCAAGCCACTCATCGTTCTTCACTACTGTGAACCTCTCCCCCGTCAACTAGCCAGCTGCGTCTCATTGGTGCCGTTGATCTCGCGACCGACTTCATCGCGTCTTCCGGCTTTCGACAAACCCCTTTCGATCAGGAGCGCGCCTCGAGTATGATGGAATACGCGCAATATCCCCAGCAACCCCAGAACACGCACAACCAGGGAGGATACTCGCAGCACGCAGGAGCCACGAACAACATCACATCGCCCCACGGCGTCCAGTCATCCCCTATTCTTTCCAACCAACAACAACAACAGCAAAACGCCCAAGGTCAACCTGCCAACATGTATCAACCACCGTATAACGTCGGTCACTACCCCATGCAGGGCATCCAGGCCGCGGCAATGGCCGCCACCGCTGCCGCCTCCGGCCAACCGAGCTACCCCTACATGCCGCAAGATCCCAACCTGCAAACATCCCCACGCATGGGCGGCAAGAAGGATGGTCGGGGTCCCAG